ATAATAACAACAACTACTACTATTACTAATGGTTCACTGAGCATTCTAGTCAAGCACTTTCTAGTTTGGCAGGTAGCAGTTCTCTAAGGTATCAGACTATGTCTCAACTTTCCTGAGATCCTTTTATAGCTGGCCTGGGTGCTGAATCTTGGACATGAGTCACAGTACATCTGATGATATGGACCACAAAAGTTTATGCCTCAATAACTCTTTCTTCTAGAGGATACTTATTGGTGGTTAATACTAATGGTTGGGTCACCTTCCTAAATCAGTGAAAGCTGGACTGCTTTAATTCCAGGCAAAACCAAGCGAGCCAAAATCAATCATTTTTGGTATAAAAGTAACTGGCTAATTGGGCTAGAAAGTTGTCACAGGAAGAAGATGGGCTTCTGTTTGGGAAGCAGATGTCTTAGTGTTTGCCTCAGTATTGTTTGCTGATGACAAACACCACAGCAAATCAGCAGGGCCACCATTATCCTGTGACAATGTTCTATTAATTAGGCATGCCATTCTAACTTTTAAGTATACAGTCAAAAGGCAGCTGTTCTATAAGCACTGTTATGAGGCAGTGAATTGGAGGGACCACACCTGGTAGCCAGAGCCTTAAGTGTCATCAAGTCCTGCCCTGAAGAGATCGCTCTCCCCCCGCCCCCCTACATGCACCAGAAACTTCAATTTGTGAGGAAAATCTGAGCTCACCACCAGTTCCCTCAAGGCTAATTCAAGCACCATACTCATGTCAGATTCACTTCAAAAGTCCCTCAGTTACTTCACTAATAGCCCCCTCCAAAAAAGAGAAGGAAATCCCAAAATGCTGAACAAACCATGAAGAACATTGGTGGTGCCTAACACATTTTGGTTATATAATGGCTGTGTACACACCATACATTTAAAGCATATGACTTCCCTCAAAGTATCCTGGGAACTGTAGTTTGTCAAGAGTGCTGGGAACTATGGGTCTGTAAAGTACATTTTCCAAGATTCTTTGGGCAAAGTCATTTGTATGGTGTACTCACAGTAATTTACCCACCTTCAGAGTTCTGCCCCAGTCCTTCAGAGATTAGTTGTTTTTCCTTCTGGGTTAATTTTTTTTTTTTTAGAATAATGAAGGTAATGCAAGATTCCCACTTTAACAAAGTTCCTTAAATCTTCTGAATCTATCTACCTACCTACTGCATTTATATCCCACCTTATTCTCCAAGGAGCTCAAGGTGGCATAGATGGTCCTCCCCCTCCTCATTTAATTGCCACAACAATCCTATGGGGTAGGATTAGACTGAGAGGCAGCGACTCGCCCATCTTCACCCAGTGAGCTTCATGCCTGAGTGGGGATTTAAACCCCAGACTCCCAGTCTGACACACTAACGACTAGCCACTCCACCACACTGACTTTTGCATCTGGAGAGAAAGCAGCTCTTGCTCCTTGTGTTTACTCCCTTCCCTATCTGCCATCCCTCCCACCAGACACAAGCATTCCTTGTGCCATAGAGCAAAGGAGTAAATGGAGGCAGATACTACAACTGACAAGGGAAACAGCAAGAAAAAGAAACTGTCTGCTTTCATTTTGTTTTGGGAAATTTAAAGGAACCAGCCTATTGTCCCTTTTGTAAGGTAATACTATGTAAGTAAGAGTCAAGGGCAGAAGGTAAGAGTTAAAGGATAGTAGCTCTCCAGCTGCAAGAAGAAATTTTTCACTGCATTGGTCCTTGTGTGTAGTATATCCTTTCTGTCAGTGACCAATACCTTTCCTTGTCTAACCAACACATGAAAATTGGTAGCAGCCATGTAAAAGTCAAGAATGAATAAATATTCAGAGAAGAAATTAGGCACGTATTCATTTTCTGGTACACAGTATAATCCAATGTAAATAGCACCCCATTTAGCTAATCTTCTGATGACCCACAACTATTTAATAACTTCAGGCCCATTTAGCTTAATGAGATTATACTGTACATTATTCTGAGGCAATCAGGTTTGATAAATCATACTAAATTGCTCTGGAGTTGCAATTTTGTCCTTCCCTCCTTCCTTCCTTCATGCATTCTCTCTCCAGAATAATGTCACTGTAAAGGATACTAGAAGCCAAAGCAAATGCTTCTCCTTTAAAAAAAAAAAAAAATTTTTTTTGCAAATGGTAGGTGCAGTAAATTCTATATATTTTAAGGAACAGGGGAAGGTCACATTCCAGTCTTTACAAGTGACAGAAACAGAAATCAACAAATGTTATGCAGGCTAGTTGATTCCAGAAGATAAAAGCAAATCCCTATATTCAAATCATAGACTATAGGGAAAGTAAAATATAATGCATGCATATGTAGCAGGAGGCAACATCTGCTTCTGTAGAAGCATGAGTCTCCAGTCTGTAAAATATAACAGCAGTGTCACCTAAAAAACCAAGGCTGCTTACATACTATACCTTTAATGCACATTCAAACCATAATCTTTCCCTCAAAGAATTCTGGGCATTGTAGTTTACCTCTCACAGAATTACAATTCCCAGCAAGCCTTAACAAACTACAGTGCTCAGAATTATTTGAGGGGTCAAAATGTGCTTCAGATGTCCTTTAGAGGTACAGTGTGTGCACAGTCTAAGGTTGCAGTCCTCTGGTCTCTCAGAGGGCATCCTAGAAGCTGTTAGACTATTTTGCATCTCTCTCTCTCCAAGAATGGAGAAAGAGGTCCCTGGAGATAGTTGGTGCTCTACCAACACCAGATCTTAGACTCCAGAAACGGCAAAAATAAGGCATTCTGGGAGAAACTGGATCCAAAGCTCTCCTGTTTCCCCAAAACACTCATGGAATTGGGGAATGGCATCATTTATTTCCCAGAAGAGAAACCTATGGCTACCTTGGGTTTGGATATGAAGCTTCCTCTGCCTTTGATTCCTCCTATTCCTACCCCAAAGGATTGCTCTATAATTCCTGTACTGTATTTTCGAATGAGCTACTGCATCAGATGCTTGTCTTGTAAGCATCTGTGGGTGTGGAGTAGAACAAAGACCCATTTACACCGGCCGACAAAAAAACTGCAGCAACAAAAAAACAATGACCCATTCCTTATTTTTATGTAGGAATCACTATTTAATGTATACTTGCATTAGTACTACTAGTGAGAATTCCTAATTCTTATTTATCCATTAATCATGTGCTTATAATGCCAATCATCCTGAAGAGGGGTGACCTATCTGGACATGTATTCTTGCATCAAAAGCGTTGCTGTGGTAAATGGCCCAATATGCCTTCAGCCTATCTTAGTATATGGTCCATGAAAGAAAGAAAAATGGTGGGAATGGAGCACACTTTTGAAAGCAAAGGACGCACAACAGACATAAAGGAGACAAAAATGCAGCCCTTTTTTGGTGCAACCAAATTCAGACACCCTTAGAATTTAGCCCATCAGCCTCTTTCTAAAAATGGCTTCAGAAGCCCTATAGAGGTAGTTCAGCTTCTCTGACTTCTCACACAATATTCTTTTAAATGAATTTAAAGCTTTTCAGAATCCCTGCAAAATAACCATGGTGCAGTTCCCCTCGTACTATTATGCAAATAGATTAATCAGCCAATGCTTCAGTGAGAATTAATTTATATTTGAATCAAATGAGCCCTAGACGCTTTATAATTGAACCCTTAGGCCAAGGCCTGGGCTAGGTAGCAACCCCATATTATTCATTTGACGAAACGTGAACTGACATAAATACTATGGCTAACTTTCAATCCGATTACTCCGTTACCTCACATCAATGCTATCCCAGCCATCAGACTCTGGCGTCCTTCCTTTCATTGGCTTTGCTAACAACTGACAACTCCTGCCTGATAAACAAGCACCCACGCTGCCATCTCGTACCCCCTCTCTTAACCCATAATTCCTGCTCAATGGGCCCTATTCGACAAGGTACTTTATTTTGTTTGTAGGAATCAAGGACTAAACAGGGTGTGTTTTGTGCTTTTTTTTAATTATAAAAAAAAGTTCTGTTGGTGTGGCTACAATTCAGAACTTCTCACTCACAGCTGCTAACTATTTTGAGTCCTAACAACCAAAAATATGCATGGGTGCTCAGCTCTTAATTTTAACAGTTATCCAAATTTATTATGGTCTTTTAAAGTCTTCCCACACCTTCCTTTATATGCCATTTTTTGATAACTGTGAGTAAAGGTCAACGTAAAGTGAACCCACATTTAAACAGCACCCTTATACCAAACTCATGTTGACAACCACCACATTCTTTCAATTGCATTGCACAGGAGCTTGTATGGGGGTGTATGTTTTAAGGAAAAAAGTTTTCCCCCTGTAAAGCCACAGGCATTTAAAAAGATTGACCAAACAATCCACCAGGTGTGAGAAAAGCCTCCCCCCACCACCCTCTGTAGGCAGCTCTCTGGCAGAGAACTTACACTCTCTAATTAGATTATCAGGCCAGCTTTGAAACTCTTATCAAAACATTTTCTCTGCTGTACTGTTCATTGTGCATAGCTGATAACTAAGCTTCTCAAAAGCTCCAGTTAAAAACCTGTTTTTAAATAAGTTGAAGGAAGTATGGAGAAGAAAAAGAAAACAAGACTTCCATTTACTTGAAAAAGCATGGGTCGCTAGGGATTATTTTACAAGGCATGTTCTAAACATATCATATGATTTGTAGTTCAGCCTTTAGGGTGCACATTACATAGGGAAGGTTAAACACAGCCATTCAAAGCTCTCTTAAAGTTGGCCCCATGCTACCATTTGTGGTGAAGAGAGGTCATCTTTGTGCGTGGTACTATGCAAAGAAGTAGGCGAGGTTGCAGTGAGCACCAAAATACTTGGGACTGTGAAATTTCAAGCAGACTGTGAATCATTCCAAAAGGATTTATTCACACTATATTCAATGCTGCTCACATTTTTCAGTCATATATGTTAAGGGGGTATAAATTGGCTTCAACCCACCAGAAATAAACCAGAGCTGAAAACTCAGTGAAACTGAGGAATTGAAAATTTAAAAAACCAAGTGTTTTAATATTACTCACTTGCATAAAGCTTACATAATGTCTATATACAGCACGGCCATTGTTGTTGTTGTTTAGTCATTGAGTCGTGTCCGACTCTTCGTGACCCCATGGACCAGACCACGCCAGGCACTCCTGTCTTCCACTGCTTCCCGCAGTTTGGTCAAACTCATGTTCGTAGCTTCGAGAACACTGTCCAACCAACTGGTCCTCTGTCGTCCCCTTCTCCTTGTGCCCTCCATCTTTCCCAACATCAGGGTCTTTTCCAGGGAGTCTTCTCTTCTCATGAGGTGGCCAAAGTATTGGAGCCTCAGCTTCACAATCTGTCCTTCCAGTGAGCACTCAGGGCTGATTTCCTTAAGAATGGATAGGTTTGATCTTCTTGCAGTCCATGGGACTCTCAAGAGTCTCCTCCAGACCATAATTCAAAAACATCAATTCTTCAGCAATCAGCCTTCTTTATGGTCCAGCTCTCACTTCCATACATCACTACTGGGAAAACCATAGCTTTAACTATACGGGCCTTCTGGTTTGGTTGTCTAGGATATTATTGAATGAAGGGAAACTGAAGATGGTTATTAGTGATCAGCTGGGTTGAAGCACCATTATTACGAAGAAAAGCTTGAGAAATTATGTATTTATATATTTCTAGAATATCTGTATACCACTTTTCAACAGTATGTTCTCAACATGGCTTAGATAGTACAAAGTAGCTTATGAATGTTTTAATAGCATTTACAGTCTCAGCATTAACATAATTCCATGTGTAGATTGTCCACCCTAGAACAGCTTCACTCTCATTAGGATTTAACCAGTATCCAGAGATGGTAGATATACCTGACATATACTGGGTCTCAACTGGTATTAGAGTGAATTGTATCAATGCTGTGCAACAAAGGTAAGGGTGATATTGAGTGCTGGACTAGATGATCCTTTGGCAAGCATTTATTATGTTCTTCTAGTCCAGACTTCAGTTACTGTAATCACTGATTGACCTTGTAAATGTGGTGCAGGAAATCACAGCAAGGATTGCAAGAGCTTCCTAAAACTTAGCATTCAAGATTATGCTTGTTCTTGTGTTAGTATGTATCATACAGAAGGATTAAATCTTGCTTCTTACTTCTGTGTAACTTACTGTGTGATCAAGTTCTTCAGTGCTGATGGAGCTGTAGTCCTAAACATCTAGAGAGCATCAGGTTGGGGAAGGCTGGCATAGGCTGTTGATGTGCTCATCTGACACATTAGAAACTGAAGCTGGAAGAGCAGGACTAGGTGATGGACTCCCAATGAAGCTGATGAGCTTGAAGCCCTATGCTCCGTCTACTTGTGGACCACAGTCATGACTGCTCAGCTGTTTGCAGGGGGAAGGCTTGGACGATGCTTAATCTCTGCTTGATTGCTTTGCGTGGCTTAAAAGCTGAGGAAAATATATGTAGAGATAGAGATCGAATTAATACCAACAATAACCAGACACATGACAAATGGGAAAATAAAATTCAAAGTAGACAAGAGAAACACATTAAGAAGAGAAGGGACAAATTAACTAGCCTCACAGTTGGCCTGGCAAAGAAACAGGGACAAAACTCCAGTGAATTACTTTTGACCTGATCACATCCTTCGTCTGTGTATTTGAGAACATGGTCGTTCAGGGTTGGCCAGTCTGAATGGAAGGGGTGGAAGCATGTAACTCTCGCCTCCAGGTTCCTTTGCCAAGTCTCGTCTCTGCTGTTTTATCCGAGATCCCTTCTTTCTTTGGGGCAGGGAGAGAAAAAGAAGAGAAAAAGGGGGGGAAACACCACACAGTTAACCACCTGTCAGGGCTGAGGACACAATAAGACAGCCCCCAAAAGAGCTTTTCATGCATGCGTAATATATTTGTTCAGCTATTCACTTAATGAAGCTGATAAATGTGATGCAAAACAATAGTCAAGTTAATCTATTTAGTAAAATGTTTTGAGACTTTCAGGCGATGTTAAGGAGGGTAGTGTATGCAAGCCATTTTCATTTCAATGCACTCATCTCCCCCCCCCTCTTTGGGGGAATAGAGGGAAGAGGGGGGTAGATTCAGACAACCTATGTGAATATAATTTCTTATAAATGTGTCTTTAATGGGTTTAATTCACCCTTGCCAGCTGTTTTTGGAGCTGGTTTGAAAGAGCAAAACAAACGTGCCAGGTTTGGAAAGCTAGTTAAAATTAGTTTCGGTCATTGGGGCCAAGCTATATTTCCTGCAAACCATCTGCTTGATTGGCACAATAGAGGGATTTTCAAGAGAGAAAAAACAGGGAGGGAGGGAGGGAGGAGGGAGGAGGAGGAGGTGGGGGAAAGACCAGCAAAGCTTTGAAGGACCCAACAGTTACTGTTCCTTGTGCTGAATTCTAAAGGTGAACGTCTTAGGTGTCTTAATACAGCATGTCCCATTCAGGTATTCAGCAAGGTCAATGAGCATCAATAAGGGCACCTAGAAAGGTATTAAAACTCCACACAGAGAACCTTCATCCTTACCCGCCCCCCTCTAGAAAGAAACAAAAATAGAGAAATCTCTGTGTGTGTTTTAGATAGCCTAGAATTGAGCGAGAAGGGCATTAGCCAACGGCGCCCGGGTGGAGAAGCCTGGCCGCCAGCAGGAAAGGCATTCAGGCCCAAATGATTTCCTAGCCTCTCTTGTTCCATCAGATGCTAACGTGTTTGGAATATGAGTTATCACAGGAAGGCAAAACAAGCAAAATGTGCCAAGCAGTTGTTTCTTCCCCTGCCCCTAAACTAAACTTCCCCTGCCCCTGAACATTGCAAAAGGGTTGCCATCAAGAGCAGTCTTATTTAAATGGATGATGCTTCCTGATTTGGACTTGGGTTCTAAGCTCCCTTACCTGCCCAACCTAAACATAAATTAAATGACACACACCAGCTTACTGGAATCGGTGCATAAATGAGTTCCCATAGTGGTCTGTGCTAAGCTGCCAAGGTGAGCCCATTCACAGCTATTTCTGCATATAGTGAATGTCATACAGCAGAGGGGTAATTGTTGATGTTTTTACTGCTCTCGCATGCTGAGGGACCAGGCATTGTTTGGATTGACCCTGCACAAGTGTAACCATTCACAGGACTGGGCTTGTGTCACACCACTGTCAACCCACAATTGCTTAGTGCCTTTTAAAACAAATTGTTAGCAGTAGGGCTTCTAGGTACCCAGTTTTGATGGGGGTGTATGCACAACACTGGCTCCCTAGGAAAAGGTATGTGCAGCAATTGCAAGGGAACTTCCAGCAGCCTTCATATGCCTGTATGTCCATGTAGTAAGGCTCAATTTGAACTCTCTATAATGTAAGCAAACGAAAGATAAATAATGGAATGTACTCCCATTAAAATTATGCATAAATCTTTCCATGCCAGTTTACAATAGGATGATAGACTACAATCCAAAACTTAGTTCTGTAGTAGTAAATGTATCGTATCTATTTTCATTGATGAATTATTATTTACAAGCGAGCCTTTTCAATGTTTCAGCCAACCAGCCATGCCCTCCTGCACATATTCCATTCCGTTTACCCAGCCTCCAGTTTTCTGCCCCACCATAAATCATAGAATTATAGAAATAGAACTGTAGAATTGGAAGGAACCCTGAGGATCACTACTCCAACCCCCTGGAGACACACAGCTTGAACACTTACTAGATGGCCAGAAGCACTGCTCAGCATATATCAGATCTCTAGGGCAGGCATGGCCAAACTTGGCCCTCCAGCTGTTTTGGGACTACAGCTCCCATCATCCCTAGCTAGCAGGACCAGTGGTCGGGGATGATGGGAGTTGTAGTCCCAAAGCAGCTGGAGGGCCAAGTTTGGCTATGCCTGCTCTAGAGACACTCAGCACCCCAAGATGCTTACAAAGCCCAAACTAAGCTTCCTCTCAGTCTCTCCCCCCTCCCAACAGGACATAGAATCATAGAATTGTAGAGTTGGAAGGGACCCCGAAAGTGATAAAGTCCAACCCAACTAAAGCATCCATGATAGATGGGCACCCAACCTCTGCTTGAAGACCTCCAAGGAAGGAGAGCCCACCACTCTCTGAGGGAGTCTGTTCTGCTGTCAAACATATCTTACCATCAGAAAGCTCTTCCAAATGTTTAGTCAGAATCTCCTTTCTTGTAACTTGAATCTGTTGGTTCAGGTCCTACCCTCTAGAGCAGGAGAAAACAAGCCTGCTCCATCTTCCATGTAACAGCCCTTGAGCTATTTGGAGATGGCTATTATATCTCCTCTCATCCAGGCTAAACATACCCAACTCCTTCAACTATTCCTCATGAGGCTTGGTTTCCGGAGCCTTGACCATCTTAGTCACCTCCTCTGTACACATTTCAGCTTGTCAATATCCCTCTTAAATTGTGGTGCACAGAACTGTATTCCAGGTGAGATTTGACAAAGGCAGAATAGAGTGGTACTATTACTTCCCTTGATCAGGACACTATACATCTGTCAATGCAGCCTAGAATAGCATCTGCTCTTTTTGCTGTGGCATCACACGGTTGACTCATGCTAAGCTTGTGGTCCACCAAGACCCCAAGATCCTTTTCACATGTACTGCTGGCAATCCAGGTGTCTCCCATCTTATATTTGTGCAGCTGGTTCTTCCTACCTAAGTGTAAAACCTTACATTCATCCCTATTGAAATTCATTTTTTTAGTTTTGACCCAGTTGGTCAATCTGTTAATGTCATCTTGAATCCTGATTCTGTCCTCTGCAGCATTAACTACTCTTCCCAGTTTGAAATCTGCAGATTTCATTGTCATCTTCTCAGTTACTTCATTTAAGTCGTTTATAAAGATGTTGAACAACAAAGGACCCAGGACAGAAGTCTGTGGCACCTGTTTGTCACTTTCCCCAAGGATTTGGAACCATTAGTGAACACTCTTTGGGTTAGGTCAAATAGCTACAAATCCAGTTAACAGGTACCTCATCCAGCCCACATTTTACCAGTTTCTCTGCAAGAATTATCATGGGGAACTTTGTCTTACAGAAATCAATATAGACTATTTCCACAGTTTCCCCCTGATCCACCAAGCCTGTAACTCTATCAAAATTTCATCTAGCATGACTTGTTTTTAAGAAACCCATGTTGGGTCTTAGGTAATCACAGTATCATTTTTTAAGTACTCAAAGACTGACCATTTAATTATCTGTTCTATGACATTTCCTGGTATCGACGTCAAGCTGACCAGTCAATAGTTACCTGGCTTTTCTTTTTCCTCCTTTTTGAAGATGGGGACAACATTTGTCCATCTTCGGAGACCTTATCTGCAGGTCCAAGATAAATAATCCCCTTGTTGCTTCTTTCCCCTTCTGGGAAATGAAATTGTCAGCGGAGCAATTGAAAAATTCGTTGCATATTACATTATTGGCAGAGTTTGAGTTCCAAGAGATATCAGGGTAGCTGAAGTCTCCCATGACTGCTATATCTCTCCTTTTTTAATGTTTGGTATTCTGCTGTAGGAAGGCTTTATCCAAGTCTTCAGTCTGGCATGGTGGTCTTTAGCAGACACCCAAAGTAATGTCTCTATTGTTTCCCTCTCCCACATTTTTACCCATATGCTGTCTTCCATGCTCATGGATCTCTTTACAAGTGTATACATCCTTTATATATAATGCTGCTACTCCTCACTTTCTGTTTGATTCTGTTTGAAGGGTTATATCCCTCAGTTTCTGCATTCCAGTCATGAATCTCATCCCAGTAATGCCCATTAGGTAATATTTACCACCCTGCATTAAGAGCTTAAATTTGTCTTGCTTGTTTCCCATACTCTGTGCATTAGTATAGAGACAACTGAAACCATGAGTCATTCCCTCCAGCTGCTTCCTTCTTGTAGTTTCCTGCCCTTTAGCATGTTTCTGTAGCACTACCTCAGTTTCCTGTGCATCAATGAAGCTATTATACCCAGTACCAGGTGTTCCCCTGCAATCTGTAATATTGTCTCCTCCCCCCTCAGCATTTAGTTTAAAAATCTCCTGATCAGGTTCACAAGACTCTAAGCAAACAGATTATTGCCAACTACTGTGAGGTGTAACCCATTTCTTCCCAGAAGTTCTTCCTATATTTTGCAATACCAGTGAAACAGCATGGATCCTGATTGTTCTGCTTCTATGTGTCACGCTCCTCCAGGGTTTCATCTCCTGCAGTGGATGATCTTCCTTCTCTCTAGGGGCAACCCACCTGCCTCACTGTTCAAGGACAGTCCACTCTGCTCTATCAAGAAATTCGTCATCTTACCTAGTAGCTCAAAGTGTGGATAGACAAGCCTCAAGTTGCTGTACCTTCTCTACTCTTAGACCCTGTGCTCTAGCAGAGGCCACACACAAACAAACTTACAATCAAACCTCCAAACAGCTCAAACAACCAGCCTTAATCCAAAAGACACAAGCTCATTCTCTTCCTTCTCCTTCACCAATCCCTGAAAAACACTCCTTTTTAACAAGTCCTGGTCACAAGCTCCCAGAGGCTGCAATCAGCTAAGTGGAACCACCAAGTCACTCATTATTCCACAAACACTGAGCATGCTCATTCCTCATTGAGCTGTGTTTGGATTCTACCCTTCATTGAAGTTTTCCTCTTAAATATTTATTTGCACTTGGCAATTCTTTTGCCAGCTGATGCTTTGCCCTTGCGTCCATGGATGGTGGAGTTTAGGCAACAGAACTTCGTTGACTTTGTGCAAGTTGACAGCAAACTTCTCCCATTTCATTTGCAGAGCCCTGTACG